AGCTAACTTGAGGAGTTTAATAGGTTCCATGCTGAGCACAACTATCTGAAGAAGTACAATAGGTTTCACATTCACAGTTCACTTGAATACAAAATATATTATGAATTATCATATCATGTTATGTTAGAAGTAGCCTAAAGGCAGAGAATAGAAAAAACGCAAGAGGTGGATGTTTATCACAATATTAACATATATACGATGTCATTATAGACATTTGGGCTATCTGATGACATGTGAAACAAGAAAGCTTCACATAGAATTTTGATTTTAATTTAACAATTTTAAATGTGACTTGAAGATGCTGTAATTTGTCAATCAGAGCTGAAACTCAATCACAATCAACAGCCCATAATGGTGAATGCTTCCACCAAGTTTGAAGTAAATCGGCCAACACAGACAGATATCTGGTTCTGGACATGATTTTAGAGTACTGGTATAAAAAAAATGGCCACCAGTCTGCCATATTTGAGCCAATCGAATTCCTCGTACATGTACCGTACTCGACCGCGTTAGCACCCATGCCCGGGCAAGCGGCCACCCCCACTTTTGCACAATTTTTATATTTAGGGTCATATTCGGCATGCAACTAATTTAAAACTTGCTCTTGCGTAACGAATCTTGGTAATCATTTTTATACGATACAGCGTGGATATCAACCGCTGTGAACATGTTGTGAATGCGTAGAATACGGTAACCGTGGTTAAACTACGCTCCGACGATGACCTGTTAATACAAGTATAAAATGCGGTAAATATTTCATGTCATATTCAGTTTACCTCTCAAAAATGGCTAGTTACTAGTTTTTTGGAAAAACCATGTCGTTTATTCGCTGAAATCAATTCCAACAGATCATACTTCGACATCGATAATTCACTTCCGCATTGCGTTACCGGAAAGTCTTCGGAAATTTCCGAAGAAATGCGTCACTACAACACAGCATTCTGATTGGTTAATAACCAACTTGACCCATTAGGTCAAACGACGCTGCTGCAGGTCAAATCTGCAAATGCATCGTGGCGGAAAGTGATTTTCATCAAAAGTTTGCGTACAATTCAACACCTTCGTCAGTGGAGATAATATGACAATTTTGACTTCCACTGTGTTCCAACAGACTCAAATGTTTTTAATTTTGTGAATTCTGGTGGTACGTAATTAATATTGTAATAAAATGTGCATATTTTTTTGATCATTTCTGTTTCTTCATTGTGAAAATCAATGACGACTCAACTAATTTTGTAATTTGATTTTCCCTCAAAGACGTAATCTGTCACTCAATGAATCAAATTTTTGATTTGCAAATTTTTTCAAGGGGAGTGCTCGGGTAAATGCCCACCCCTAAAAATCATACTTTTCTGAGTTAAGGCCCCTGGGCGCTAACGCGGTATATGTATCAGACTAGGTGTTAAATATGTGCAAGGTTTGACGAAAATTGGTCAAAGTAAATCTGAGATACAGCTTTGGATGTACACATGGGTGCAACAAAATGCAATGTCACATAGTTTGATACCTACCTGATGATCACTTCATTGCTGGAGATGATGGAAAACCCACCATGTGTTCTAAATAATGTACAAGACATTTCTGAAACATAGAAAAAAAGTAAAAACATTATTACACATATTTACTGTGCAGTGAAGACTGGTGAGACTTTTCAGTATATTGTATTTTTCAGAATCTGGGAATAAACTTTTAAGATGTATAAATTATAAACCCATTAGAGCCATAAATTTTTTTTACATATTATTTTTTTTTTTATTTTTATCAGGTCACAAGCGCATAGACAATAAACGGAAACGCTATCAATTTGGGAATCAGAAATTGAACTCTATGAGGTCTCACAAAGCCAAAAGCCTTTATAACGAGTCACATATGGCAATTTCAATTTCTATTATAACTTGTACTGTAATTATGATGACCAAGGGATTTACACCAAATGTGCCATCACTTTCTCATACATTTGGCGAAATTTTCCTTTGCATATGCTTTAATTGAATTCCCAATACGAAAATATACCCACATTTCCGAAATAGATAATGTTTGTTGGAGAGTGCTTAATCCATTTTTAACTTACTATCCTTCAACATAGGCACCAACAACTGGCAACCACCAGTATAATACAAAGCTGGTTGGTCTTCTTTTTTTATTTTTTTCAAAAGTTCAGCAATAGTTTGGATTTCTTCATTGCCTTTTTCGTATAAAAGTTCAACTTTTTTTTCTGCTTTTGCAGCAGCTTTGGCTAATTTTGCTGCAGCAATATATTCTGAAAAGAAAGAATAACAAACAACTAGGTGGTCAAAAGAACTCGTGTGTCTGGTAAGAATATTGTTGTCATCAAGCAATGAACATTCACTACACTAACTACAGCGCATGCACACGAAAATAATTTGCGTTTGTTAAGGACATATCAACCTACAAATCAATAACACATCCATGAGGTCAAATATTCAATGAGATAACATAACCCCAACCCTCCCAGTCAAAAACTAGAAAGACAAATAGTTTTCAAGAAGTCAAAACTATTTTTTTTTACTTAAAAAGGTAATCAAAGAAAGCTTAGAAAGAACGCCCGTGTGCTGAGAGTATTGAAGACACATTAAAAATTAATTCAAAATTACTTGTACATGAGATATTGATGGAAAAGCTGAAAACTAATTATGTAAATCAGGTAACTAATTATGAAAAAAATATGAATTATAATGCTAATTAGAGAATTAATATGAACAAATTTTAACCCAAAATTAATCAGGCCTGTCTATTGTTCTAGAGCATTTATGTACCAAATTTTATTCAAATGTGATGATCAGTAATTGAGATATCAGTGTTAATTAATTATGTTAATTAGGAGATTAATAAGCATAAATATTTACCAAAAACTAATTGGGTTTCTGCATAGTTCTCTTTAAAAGTTTCATTAAAATCCAATTTGTGGTTCTTTATATATCAGAGGAACATTATGCAAATTAGGTAATTAATATCCATTTAAAACTAATCAGGTCTCTGCATAATCCTAGAAGATCTATGTAGCAAGTCTCATTGAAATATGATGATTACTACTTGATATATCAAAAGCTGAAAATTAATTAATTATGCAAATTAGGTAATTAATATGTACTCATATTACCCTAAAAACTATCAGGTCTGTGCAGTGTCCTATGACATCTATGTACCAAGTGTCATTGAAATGTGATGATTTCTACTTGAAATATCAAAAGCTGAAAATTAATTAATTATGCAAATTAGGTAATTAATATGTACTCATATTACCCTAAAAACTATCAGGTCTGTGCAGTGTCCTATGACATCTATGTACCAAGTGTCATTGAAATGTGATAATTTCTACTTGAAATATCAAAAGCTGAAAATTAATTAATTATGCAAATTAGGTAATTAATATGTACTCATATTACCCTAAAAACTATCAGGTCTGTGCAGTGTCCTATGACATCTATGTACCAACTTTCATTGAAATGTGATGATTACTACTTGAAATATCAAA